GTCCTGTTTTAGACCTGTTTTAGGTTTTAGTTTTCCTGTTCTGTTTTTAGTTCTGTTTTAGACCTGGTTTAGTTCTGTTTTAGACCAGTTTTTTCTGTTTTAGACCTGGTTTAGTCCTGTTTTAGACCTGGTTTTAGAGTTTTGTTGTTTTAGACCTGTTTAGAGTTTTAGTTCTGTTTTAGTGGTTTAGTTTTAGAGTCCTGTTTTTGACCTGGTTTAGTTTTAGACCCTGTTTTAGACCTGTTTTAGTCCTGTTTTAGACCTGGTTTAGTCCTGTTTTAGACCTGGCTTAGTCCTGTTTTAGACCTGGTTTAGTTTTGTTTTAGACCTGGTTTAGTCCTGTTTTTGACCTGGTTTAGTTCAGTTTTAGACCTGGTTTAGTCCTGTTTTGGACCTGGTTTAGTTCTGTTTTAGACCAGTTTTAGTCCTGTTTTAGACCTGGTTTAGTTCTTTTTTAGACCTGGTTTAGTCCTGTTTTAGATCTGGTTTTGTTCTGTTTTAGACCAGTTTTAGTTCTGTTTTAGACCTGGTTTAGTTCTTTTTTAGACCTGGTTTAGTCCTGTTTTAGACCTGGTTTAGTCCTGTTTTAGACCAGTTTTAGTTCTGTTTTAGACCTGGTTTAGTCCTGTTTTAGACCTGGTTTAGTTTTGTTTTAGACCAGTTTTAGTTCTGTTTTAGACCTGGTTTAGTCCTGTTTTAGACCTGGCTTAGTCCTGTTTTAGACCTGGTTTAGTCCTGTTTTAGACCTGGTTTAGTTTTGTTTTAGACCTGGTTTAGTCCTGTTTTCGACCTGGTTTAGTTCAGTTTTAGACCTGGTTTAGTCCTGTTTTAGACCTGGTTTAGTTCTGTTTTAGACCTGGTTTAATTCTGTTTTAGACCAGTTTTAGTCCTGTTTTAGACCTGGTTTAGTCCTGTTTTGGACCTGGTTTAGTCCTGTTTTAGACCAGTTTTAGTTCTGTTTTAGACCTGGTTTAGTCCTGTTTAGACCTGGTTTAGTTCTGTTTTAGACCTGGTTTAGTTCTGTTTTAGACCAGTTTTAGTTCTGTTTTAGACCTGGTTTAGTCCTGTTTTAGACCAGTTTTAGTTCTGTTTTAGACCTGGTTTAGTCCTGTTTTAGACCAGTTTTAGTTCTGTTTTAGACCAGTTTTAGTTCTGTTTTAAACCTGGTTTAGTCCTGTTTTAGACCAGTTTTAGTTCTGTTTTAGACCTGGTTTAGTCCTGTTTTAGACCTGGTTTAGTTCAGTTTTAGACCTGTTTTAGTTCTGTTTTAGACCTGGTTTAGTTCAGTTTTAGACCTGGTTTAGTTCTGTTTTAGACCTGTTTTAGTTCTGTTTTAGACCTGGTTTTGTTCTGTTTTAGACGAGTTTTAGTTCAGTTTTAGACCTGGTTTAGTTCAGTTTTAGACCTGTTTTAGTTCTGTTTTAGACCTGGTTTTGTTCTGTTTTAGACGAGTTTTAGTTCAGTTTTAGACCAGTTTTAGTTCTGTTTTAGACCTGGTTTAGTCCTGTTTTAGACATGGTTTAGTTTTATTTTAGACCAGTTTTAGTTCTGTTTTAGACCTGGTTTAGTCCTGTTGTAGACCTGGTTTTGTTCTGTTTTAGACCTGGTTTAGGTCTGTTTTAGACCTGGTTTAGTTCTGTTTTAGACCAGTTTTAGTTCTGTTTTAGACCTGTTTTAGACCTGGTTTAGTTTTGTTTTAGACCAGTTTTAGTTCTGTTGTAGACCTGGTTTTGTTCTGTTTTAGACCAGTTTTAGTTCTGTTTTAGACCTGGTTTAGTTCTTTTTTAGACCTGGTTTAGTCCTGTTTTAGATCTGGTTTAATTCTGTTTTAGACCAGTTTTAGTCCTGTTTTAGACCTGGTTTAGTTTTGTTTTTAGACCTGGTTTAGTCCTGTTGTAGACCTGGTTTTGTTCTGTTTTAGACCTGGTTTAGTTCTGTTTTAGACCTGGTTTAGTTCTGTTTTAGACCAGTTTTAGTTCTGTTTTAGACCTGGTTTAGTCCTGTTGTAGACCTGGTTTTGTTCTGTTTTAGACCTGGTTTAGTTCTGTTTTAGACCTGGTTTAGTTCTGTTTTAGACCTGGTTTAGTTCTGTTTTAGACACAGTTTAGTCCCAGAAACAACTTTTAGGAGATCAAACTGACGAAAAAACAAAAAAGGAGAAAAATACAGTAAATTAATCTTTACTTTTTGCCTTTGTCCTGTAGGAGATGGAGATGCGTAATGCGGAGCTGGAGCGTCGTGTTCAGAACTCTGAGCAGAGCCTGAGTAATTCCCTGGACGAGCGCGACCGCATGGACACTGAGCTGCAGAGAGCCATCGAGATCCTGGACATCAAGATCTTTGACCTGAATGACCTGCGCCAGAGCCTCTACAAACTCATCAGTAAATAGGAGTAGTGCGGACTAGGATTTTCTAAAGTATCGAAAATCAGATACTAATCAACTTTAAAACTAGTATCGAAACTAGATACTTATGTGAGCAGGTATCGATACTAAAAAAGTCCCATTCACAGGACACAAATGAACATTTCCTGAATAGCTTTAGAATGATCTGGAGCTGCATCAGAACAAGTATAAGAGCACATAGACTAGTATACACACATGGACACTATGAACCTACCTAGATGACTAGGCCACATGGTAATATAAAAGAAAGATCTATTATTTAATGTTCAAAATCATATTCTATTGTCTAAAGAGGTTTTAATTATCATAGTGGTATCGGAATCAGTATTGAGTATTGAGTCTATTTCTTAGTATTGAAATCGACTTGAGTTTAACAATACCACCACTACTACTACTACACTAATATACATGCAGAGTACTACAGGAGGTCAAAGGCCAGAGGGACTGAGCTGGTCACTGTTTCCTCCCTCACCTCTCACTCAAGGCTAAAGGAAAGTTGGAGTATTTTAAATAACTGTTGTGCATTAAATCTTATGTCGCTTTATCAACATTCAATGCAATAATTAAAGTTCAAGGGAAGTGCTGAACCATGCTTATTGATACTTTGCAGTGACATCGTGCAGGGGGTGTTCTGCAGGATGTCTGTGGCACAATGCTCAGTAGTTAAAACGGTGCACCATTAGCAAAAAACTGCCAAAAGTTTTAAGATTGTCTGAAAACTCAAGAAAAAATACAAAATAGATTTTAAAAGGATATTTTCAGGAGCCTGAGTTTTCATGTTCCAAAAAACATGAGTGTGACTAACTGAAAAATGGTTGGCTAATGCTGGTTAGCTTGTGACTGTAGTATTATTTGAGAGGAACTTCTTTAACAGAACAAATCAGCTCACTTGTTGTAGTTCCAACTAAGGCTACGTTCAGACTGCAGGGTTAATGCTCAATGTGGCTTTTTTTGTGAAATCAGATTTTTTTACAAGGTCATTCGCATTTCCAGTTAAATGTGACTTGTGTGTGATCTCCAGTGTGAACATTAAACGCCCCAAAAGTGTCCCACATGCACACTGGACGACACGACGACGTCACACACAGCGAGCGTGCTCTGTGTTTACGGAAGTCGCCTAAACACGCCAGCACTGAGCACCTGGAGATTGTAAAGCTGCTGTTATACCGGAGCCAGAACATGTCCAGCTTATTTGTTTTAAGGAGGAGATTGAGAAGGAGAAGGACGAGGTTTTGGGCCGTGGCGTTTTGTGTATCAGCAACATCTGAAGAAAAGAACGTGTGGGTGCGGAGTCACAGCCAAGACTGGTGCTTCGCTGCTTCGTGCACGCATTCATACACATTTTTTGGACGACAAAAAGAACATTTGTGCACATTTGTGATGTGATGAACGTGACCTGGCCGTTCAGACTGAAGTCGCATGTCAAAAGATCAGATATGTTTGGGTTTTAGGAGCACATATCATTAAAAGATCAGCTACAGGAGCATAGGGGCAAAAAAATGGATTTGGGTAATTTCAGGCTGCAGTCTGAACATAGCCTAAATCATCTCTTTATAGTCAGATTACGTTAAAATTAATCTTAAATGAAAGTCTACCAAAGCCTCAGACAGAGCAGAGCCCTCAGTTAGCATCACAACCCCAGGGAATGTTGATGACATGAGCTGCCAAGTATCAATTGAGACACTGGTTCTCGTTGTACTGAAGTGTACTTGTTTCCATGGGGACTTCAATGGAGGAAGAACTGCCAATCATTTCCTGGTGCTTTAATATCATCTTTGTATAAAACAGTGTCAGTATAATGGAGAGTAGGAGGCCTTGCAGTTTTGTCCAGTCCACAGTTAAAACCCACCTTCTGCTCATGAATCCCAATTTTTTAGAAATGAAATACAGATTAGCAACTTGCACCAAAATTTAAGGTCCGAATTAATTGTCCATGTCTGCATGTTGTCCAGGAGTTATCAACTGCAGCCTTTAGCATACAAAAACAAACACGTGGGCCTGTTCTAATAACCAATGAGTCTATGGAGCTCAAACAGTCAAATTTCCCATACATTTTCAGATGTCATTGTGTTTCGGTCAAAGGTCTGAGTGCAGTTTAACAGGAGGACTGGTCAGGGAGGGTGAGCAGATGTGTGTCAAAACAGTATGAGGAGAGGAAGGGCAAAAAGTGTCCCTCCTCTGTGTCCTGCAGCATCTCAGCAGCCTCCAGGGGGCGCCAGGTGAACAGGAAAGGCCTCACTCTCACTCCTCTTCAGTGTTTTGCTTTGTTATAAAATTATTCATTCCCTCAAACTATTTCATCTGGAAGCTCTCAGAGTATTTCTTTTGAATGGTCTATGAGAAAAATGAATGGAAATGTACTTTCAGAACCAGAGCGGGACTGTTGAGCTCCACAGTCTTTATATGTTAAAGAAGACTCTACTTTCCAAACATGTCAGCCTAAAAACCACTGAGTTTATACTGGAGCAGAAGGGGGCGTGGTATTAATAACACATAATTGTCAAAGGTTTTTGTAATAATTTATAAAGCCTTATGTTTGCACTTCTAATTTAGCAGCTACAAACTCACTACTAGAACATAGTTTGTATTTAATATTAAGGCATGGATCACTAACCTGAGCTTTTTAATGTGAATTGAGACACCAAAGACCAAATGGTTATGGTATGTTAAGACTTCTGTCATTTCAAAACTGGTACAGCACAGAGACTAGTGCAGTTAAGTTGTTTTATTAGCTTACACTTAACTTTTGGACATTTTCAGGTTTGGTTTACTTACAGTTTGTTGCTTTCAGGAGTTGGCATGTCACCTGGCTGACTCCATTACTGTAGAAAGTTAAAACCATGCTTCAAACCATTCTCCATGGAGATAGATTTTATGCCATACTGTGGAAATATTATAGCCAAAAGAACGACATTTCCATGAAAACAAGCAGGACGAGGCCCCATTCGAGGCCAATTAAGAGTCAGGATTGTGAAGAAGCAAGCCTGCTCAGAGTAAGCTCTCCTGCTTTTCTTTTTTGAGAGTTTTTGAAGGCAATAAGCCCAACAGTATAGAAAAAAATACACTTTTATTTTAGTGTTATTTTAGTCCTTTCTTTGGCTAAAAAAGTGTCATACTGTGGCTTTAAACTGTCTGTAATAAAATACTTGGTTCAGTTGTATTCAGTGCAAACAACATGACATGCCTTGTGTCATATCCACGCTACTTTCAGTGGCTCACAAACTGTAGATCTTCTGTACTGTAATTTTAGCTAATAAATTACTTTGCTGCTTTTGCGACTTTTTCTTAAACATGTAACAATTCTAAAAATGACAATTCAAACAAGGAGGAAGTTAAATTCCATTGGCCCAGCCTCTATGGCTGAGTGAGTAGGTCAGTCTTTATTTGAGCTTCGTTGTTGGCTGAATGTTGTTGGTGTGTTCACATTTGTTCTTGCTGCAGTTCACAGTTTGAGGATGGATTTGAGGATCACACCTGGAAGAAAACAGCCACACTCAGAAACAGGCCAGAACTTGTAATGCCTTGTCCACATGTATAAACATGACTAAACTGCAATATTAACAAACACTGCCAAAATGTGTTAAGGTTTTGTGAACTCTCAGTCCATCTGTGATAGGGCCCCCAGCTGTTTAGTGGACCAATCATAGTGCAGTATTGAGGCTCGTACAAAAGCCAAAGGCCGAGCACCCAAACAAACCACAACATAGCAACGCTGGAGTATGAGTTGAACTACTCAGCTTTTAGTGAAAACACATTTTGTTTGTGAAAATGTGCAAAAAAATGTCAGAAGCCTGTGATGAGTTTAAGTGTTCATAGTCTTGTTTTTAGACGTTTGATTTTCAATACAAAGGCGAAAGTGACTATGCGGGGTAGACTATTGGTATTTGAGAGGAAACCCACTCCTGTAAACTTCAAAAAGAAAGAGGCCACACAGTCCATGTGCTCCCAAAGAGATGAGAAATGTCTTAGACTGAATAGTGAGAACCCTGTGGTGGTGTGAGAGGTGGATCATTTGGTGGATACAGTGTTTGGCGCAAACTTGCAGCAGAACATTTTCTCACAGTTGTTTTTCTGATCCAGCTGCCTCAGAGAAGACTCGGTGATGCCTCCTCTGAGCTGAAGGACCAGGTGCAGTGTGGCCTCTGGAGATGGGACAGGAAACAGTTTACACCCATGGATCATTTAAATAACATTAACACCAAACATGTCCAGTATCTACAGAGGAACAGTAGATGATGACACACCTTTCCAGTTGTTCTAATCTGTAATCTGATGCATCCATCCTCCAGTTGTTTCCAAAGATCAGGTGGTGTTGATTCAGAGGGATGATGCCTTCAAAACAAATTCTTTTCTCAGCTATAAATAGCTGATGCATTCTCTGTTTGGGGCTTTGTTTCTCAGGTTAGATTTTTATGAGTTTTGTTTTAACACAAAATCTTAAATTCCTCTGTTCATTCAGTAAGGTTTTTTTTTTATGCAAGTTGCCCTTCCAATTCTGTTGCAATCTGCCAGACATTGTCTCTGTTTGGCACCAACTGGTTACCCTCCTGTGGTTGGGTGACCGCTTAACCCACTGCACCACTGTTGTACTCTCATGATCATGATGTTGTGTGGTTTTTTACTTTTTTTGTCCTGGATTTTAGCTTTGACATTATTGCTGGTGTCACTGGGCTCCACCTCTAGTGTCAGTGTTTTCACAAAGAGCTGCTCTCTGTGTCTGGAAAAAAACAGATCAGCTGCATTTCTGCATTTATTTATTGCACCAAAATATTCAAATTTAAAATATCACAACATGTGTGAATATAGAATTAAACACTACTGTCTTTTCAGTGCTCAAGTTATATCATTGAAAGATTTGAATTTGATGAATACTACCTTAAAGTAACACTTTAAGTATCACTTTCTGGAGGGGACACATCACCTACATGATTCCACAAAAACAAAGTTAAAACCATACAACAGAACATTCTCCATAGCCAGTCTGTGAAAGATTAGAGCCAAAGGAACAACATTTCCATAGAAACAAGCAGGAAGAGACTCTCCTCTAGGTAGAGTAAGGACACATGCTTTTATATACACAACCAAATGAAAAAAACACTTTTTTGGGGTCAATTTGATGCCTAAAAATGTAACATACTGTGGCTTTAACTAATAAGCAAGAATAAAATATTTTTTAAAAAAAGGTCCAAACCTCATCTGAATGGAGAATGGAGAGTGTAGAGTGGAGTGTGGAATGTGGTCATACCGGTTTATCAAAGTCTGATCCCATCACATCTCAGAGGCTCAGGAGGGCTGGGTCTGGTTAGTACTTGGATGGGAGACCACTGGGAAAATCAGGAGCCACAGGGGGGCACCAGTCATTGTGTCCTTAGGCAAGACACTTCATCCACATTGCCTAGTATGAAAAGTGAGTGTGCGAGTGATGAAGCTTCTGTCTATCTGATTTTTCATACTCCACAACCACACTCACTGTTCAACAAAAATCTGCATTTTTTTCAGAGCTTTACAACTCAGTACTTTTTTTTTTTTCATAATAAATGAGGCTTTGCAACTGGGTAAGTTCAGGACTAATGCACCACACACACCTGTGAATTAGGATCAGGAGATGGCGCCATTGGACAAGGGAACGTGAACATCATTTTCCCTTGTGCAATGGCGCCATCTCCTGGACACAGACTGATGCGTTTTGAGTGCCTTTATAGTAAATATATATATATATATATATATATATATATATATATATATATATAATGACTTATTAGTTAACGCAAAGTTAACGCGGCCCTAACATATATATATATATATATATATATATATATATATATATATATATATATATATACACACACACAAATGTATACAAATGTATATATATATATACACACACAAATGCACTATGCACTATAAAAATATGGCCAGTATTAATGAGGTACTTTCTAAGTTTGACATACTTGATTGTATGACAGCAGACTGGAGATGGAAAGATCAGTGTTCAATGTTCAAAATATTGCCCAAAACATTTTAAAGAAGACATATTGTTCTTGTGTGTGCTTTATAATTCTAAACTATGACATCTGAGGATCATTATGTTATAACTTGGACTTTTAAATTGCAATATTAATCTAAAACAAGACACTTCGAGCTGATTCCTGCCTCTCTGTTTAAGGATAACTCCATATGATCCTGGAAGATTTTTCATTTATACCAAAATGTCTCTGAGACACTGCTGAGCCCTAAGTGCATCACAGATGAGAGATGAGGACTGGGTGAAAACAGGCAGACTGGAGTAATGACATCTGGAATACAAGACAGTAAAGATTACTCAAACAGGCACAAATAAATGAGAAGGAGGCTAAATATCATGGTTAAAAGCTCTAAAAGTCGATTTTACATAATAGATACAAATATACCATCACTCACACACACACCACTTTATACTAGGCAATGTGGGCAAAGTGTCTTGCCTAAAGACACAACGACAGTTTTTGTGACTGGTGCCCCCCACTGTGGCTCCTGATTTTCCCAGGTCTCCCATCCAAGTCTTGACCAGACCAGGTCCTGCTGAGCTCCTGAGCTCTGACAAACCAATATGGCCACACAGTGTGTAATGTTTTTGTAACTAAAGAATAAATCAGCATTAGAGTCGTTATCAGTGAAAGACAGATTTGATTTGAACATGTCCACCTTCATCAAACGACACAGTAAAGTGAAGTTTATAGAATTTTAAAAACACAATTTTATATTCAGTTCTTAATTCAGTGGCGGCTGGTCAATAGAGGGCGCAAGAGCGCCGCACTCCCTAACTTGACCTAGATAAAAGAAAAAGAAGAAAAAAAATTATAAAGTCATTATTTTGTATTAGGCTATATGTTTAATATTTTGTTTAAAATGTAACGTGTATCTGCATAGGCATATTTTTATCACGCTAAATGTGCTCATATCACTTTATTTGTGTTTGGAATTTGAGTGCGGTGAGTTTTGAGAAAATGTGACGTCATGACGTTGCTTCTGCCCATGACTTTACATTAGCGGTAAAATCCATGTTTGGGGCGCAGGGAGCGACATGAAATCAACTGATTGTTCTGAATAAACATGAACACACATCTTGTCCTGTTGTGGTTCAGCTGCTCTGTCACTCAGCCCCGACTCTGCACTGACACATGTTACTGCTATTCAATTCAATTCAATCATTATTAAGAACACATTATATCTGGTTCATAGTATTAAAAAGACAATAGTAAGAATAAAAAGATAAATACAGTGCATGTTATAATGTACAGACAAGAGCGCCAGTGTCTCCATAGCTCAGAGGTGAATCTGACAGAGCTCCTCTCAGACACACTAGAGGGCAAATGATTTGATGACTCAGATTCATTGCTCTACACATAAATGAATAAATACAACGCCTGATTGTGACAGCACAGGGTCTCACATCACAATTTATAATTATTTCACTGGCGCTACAAAACCTTGGCACTTTCAGTAATATTCTCAAAGAGTCGTTATTGTACTGTCAAACCGCAAACTCTTTTTGCGCCAAAGATGCGCAGTGTACAAGGGTGACAGGCGCTAATGATGACAACAACAGAACTGTGTGTTGTACAGTTATGGCGAGTTCATACAAGTGCATCTGAGAAATAGTTTTAGGGAGTAAGAACATGAAAAGAAGCATTAAACTGGAATGAGCTGTGGTGAGATACTACGGCTTTTATTCTGATTCACACACTGGCTAATAGCGGCTAGCTGTTAGCTTAAACCTCCACAAAGTAAAGCGCGAGGACAGACCCGCCGCTGGGACCAGGACCCACGCGCCGCCGGAGCCTGTCGCAGCCAGGACCCACTTACTGCCGGGGCCCGGGCTGTTGTTCGCTGCTCTGTCCGGACTGTGTGGGCTCTGTTGTTCACTGGGCGTAGCGCACAGAGGACATAAGTCCACCTGGTGTCCTAGTGTTAATATGGACTGGTGTAACTGTCAGATTTAAATGGGAAGTGAGATTAAGACAATTTTACAATCAGCTCGTGCACTCGGCTCTTGGACCTCTTGTCACGGACCTGACTGGACCAGGATTTGGACCAGTTTCATCTCTTCATATTGGACAATACACTTTTGGAGACAGAACCAATGGGACAGTGGATAGAGGAAACACTCTGCTTCAGTCTCTGGAGAAGGTAAGAGGTTTATTTTCATTAATTTGGGGCAAATCTGAAGATGGAGCCTCACGGGTAAAAAGTGTTATAGTGTTATAGTTAAATAGTGTTATAGTTAAATAGTGTTATAGTGTAATAGTTAAATAGTGTTATAGTTAAATAGTGTTATAGTTAAATGGTGTTATAGTTAAATAGTGTTATAGTGTTATAGTTAAATAGTGTTATAGTTATAGTTATAGTGTTATAGTGTTAGTGTTTATAGTTATAGTGTTATAGTGTTATAGTTAAATAGTGTTATAGTGTTATAGTTAAATAGTGCCTAAATGAGCTGGTGGCTGCGTTGGAGCTGCTGTTGTTCTGCGGTGCGCTGTAGGAGTGGCGCTGATGTCGTGTGTTCATGTTGTGACCATACCTCTTATTGTAGTTTTGCTGACGTTGTTGGGGATGGGTGTGAGCGGTGTGTTACCTTGTGTTACCTTGTGTTGTGTTACCTTGTGTTGTGTTACCTTGTGTTGTGTTATCTTGTGTTGTTGGGGCTGGCAGTGAGCGGTGGATCAGGTTGTGCTGCTGCGTAAACTTGGGTAAACTTGCGTAAAACTGCGCTTGGCTGTGCGTTGTGCTCTGATAGTTCAGCCAATAGTGACCAAAATGACTGTCTTTTTCTGTTTCATTATAATACTATATAGCCTATATAATATATATATATTATATATATATATTTATAATTTTGGCCTTGGCGCCCCCCCAAAAAATTATACCACCAGCCGCCACTGGTTCTTATAAATGATTTGAACGTTTACATTTGTAAATGTTCATAACATTTGTTAATTTGTTTTATGAATTATTTTATGGAGGGTCTGTATTCTTTGAAAAATACCAGAATTAGTATAATGTTCTGGCTTGTCATATTCATCTACAAAATCTGAAGTCATGTCCAGATGTTTCCCTCGACTTCTGTGTCTTTAAAAATCTACGGACTGTTCTAAAGGCAACACCGCCCTCTGCTGGTAAGACTGGAGAAACACACGCTCTTTCATTCACAAATCTCAACCATGACATTTTTTTTTTGGAGTTGCATTTATTTATAACAACAGGTTCAGAATGGTTCATATACAAGATGATGTAATAATAATATGAAAATAGCATGTGTCATGTGTCTAAGAGGCCATGATGTATTTGACAAAGGCCTCGTAGTTAATGCAGCCGTTTGCATCCTCCTGGTTTTGCATGAGCTGCTCCACCTCGTCCTCTCTCATCTTCTCCCCTGCACAAAAACAGAAATTATTACAAAATAATGATAATAATGTAGCTTTTGTCTATTGTCATAAACATTAAAGTGCTTTTCTTTATTAAAAATAAATTAGCATAAATTCTCAATTTAATATAATGTTTGTTTTTATGGCCACAAAAACAGTGAAGTGAAAGTGCAGCCTTCTGGTGTTTGCTCATTGTTCCTGTAGTTTGGAGTTTGTTTCTGGTGAGCAAGAAGTGGGGAGGTACAGTGTGTGTTTAATACTTGTAGAAAAAGACTAAAGGCCATTTAGAAATCATCATATTGACAGTTTACAAGAGCATTTATTGACAGAATGCATCTGTCTAAACTTAAAGGTAACTTTTCTAGTGGACACACATACTTTTCTCCACTGAGATGTCATTGATTTGTGTTTATCTTCATGGAGACCAAACCAGAGCAAGTTACAGGTCAGATCTGTGGTGAGGCGACCCTGCTCACAGTTAGAATGCCTGTTTTTCTCTGTATTTTTGAGCTCTAAAAGCTCCTGTAATTGAATCAATGTAAAGTAGAGCTGTTTAATGTCATACTATGGAACACTGCAGACAGAGCAATGACATGTCCATGAATCAAAAAGTTATGTAGTGAACCTTTAAAGGAACAGTAATGTAAGATTTTGATTTTGATCTTGTCTGATTTCAGAAGCTGAGCCTCATTAGTATTTGTGTGGGAGACTGCTGGGAAAATCAGGTGCCACAGTGGAGCAGCAGTGGCAAAAACTGTTGTGCTCTTAGGCAAGACATTCACCGACATTGCCTAATATGAATGTGTTGTTTTTTTTTGTGTCCTGACCTTGAAGCAAACTGCACTGAAACCCAAACTTGAGTTAA